CAATTTAAAATTTTCCACCCTAGTTTTGCAAGAAGAGCCTTATTAATCCATTTGAAGTTCTTCACACCTAGTCCATCCCCCATTTTGGGAGTACAAACCCTACTCCACTTAACTAGATGAATGGGGTTTCGGCACCTCTCCTTAGACCAAAGGAAATCCCTCGGTCTTTTTCTAAATCAGCAACAACATTACTTGGAATTTTAAAAGACTGCATTACAAATTGAGGCACCATGGAGGCTGAAGAGTTAATTAAAGTTAATCTCCCTGCAACCAAGAGAGAATTATTTTTCCAACTTGCAAGTTTGTTAGCCATTTTCTCTTTCAAAAACTTGAAAGTATCTTTTGAAACTCTACCTTCAATAATGGGAGCTCCAAGATAAGTCTTTTTCCTACTCCTAATCGGAATCTTAAGAATTCTAGCCATCACTTTTTGAAGTCTAAAGGGGATGTTTTTGGAAAAAGTTATGGTCGATTTAAGATAATTAGGAAGCTGGCCAGAAGCTTTACCAAAGCTATCCAAAATCTCATTGATTTTGAGACAAGCATTGACTGAGGACTTCGCAAAAATAATGCAATCATCTACAAATTGAAGAATTGGAATGGTCAGACCTCCCCTAGAGGCTTTACAACCCACATCATTCGAGCCACATACAGCCTCCATATTAAGTTTACTCGAAAGGGCCTTAGCGCAAAAGACAAAGATATAAGGGGAGAGGGGGTCTCCTTGCCGAATCCCCCTATTAGATCTAATGGCTTGAGTAGGAGAGCCATTTATGAGAATCTGGAAGGAAATTAAACTAATACATTGTGAGGCATAGGCCTCAAGGCGTTGCGAATTGTTAAAGCTTAAGAATAAAATTAATTAGTTTATAAATTGATAAAAGTAACATATAATATACTGAGTTAGAATGATAGAAAATATAAATATCYATAAAATAAAAGTTTATAAGCAATATGTTTCAGTGGTTAAGCATTAAATAAAATAATAACAAATCAACCAACAATTATAAACATTTTAAATTTCATGTTTCAGAGGTATAACATCGTTGAAATTGTATGTACCCTTAAGGGTTATAAGTGACGCGTTTTTTTTCTGTTCAACCATCCTTTTAGAAAGGTTTCCTATTATTTTGATAATTTGATAAATAGATTCGGGTAAAAGTTCAAGGGTAAATAAATAGAAGAGGCATGTTTTGAAACTTTGAAAATTAATTAAGGGTAAAAAGTAATTTTATTCAATTTAGCAACAATACAGGATTTTTACCCAAACTTTTTTGGGAGATTCAGCCCACCTCAGAATTCTTAATCCCACCGTACAGGTGGAATGAATCCTGACCATGGATTGATGCCAAATCTACATGCAAGATACAATTTATAGGAGGGGCCTACTAGTAGACTATGGAGGGCTGTAATTTTAGAATTCTGCAGTGGGCTGCAGTGTACTTCTCCAATTTTTTTTTTTGAAAAGGCAAACTTTCTAATTTAAAGGCCCACATGGGCAAAATTTACAAAGCCCGGCAACCAGGATGGCCGATGATCAAACCAAAATGAAGCAACCTGAGTTCTTTTAGCATATTGCACCATTGCATGAGCCGCAGAGTTAAAAGCATGGTTTTCCAACCGCCATTGACCTGGATGGTCAAACCGTTCGGCCTGGGAACCATCCAAGCAACCGGTTCCATTTTACCCCAAACCCGGTCTTTGACCAAAAAATGTTGAAAAAGTCAACAACCCGTTCAATGGTTTTTGGCAGTTCCTTTTTAATTTTTTTTTATTTTTTTAATTTTTTTTGTTAAAACGAATCATCTATTTGAACTGAACGATCGAACAATCAACCCGAAAGCCAATGGTCAAAACGGTTCATTTCCAAGTCGTTTTTTAAAACCATGATTAAAAGATCTATTAATATAAATTAAGTTAGTTTGACTGAAACTGATCTTGAGGTTAATATCAAAAAGCAAATTCCACGATTGSTAGGGAAGGGAAAGGCGGCCTAATCCATTTAAACTCTAGATAACTGAAAGGGAGTTAGAACAACACACTACTCGCCCTCAGCCCTCCTTAGCCTTGGATAATGCCTTTAAAATCGCCATCAGCTCATCTTCTTCCATAATCCGCTTAGAAGCAAAAGACCCACCAGCCGAACTTGCATAAGAACTATCAAGATACGAACAGATAAAACCGTAAGTATTTAAGGCTCAGTTTGAAAGGAGTATAAATACAAATTTGTAGAGTATAAAACATTACATTTTATATTATTTTATATGTATTTGTATTGTACATATTTGTATTTGTACTCCTTCCAAACTGAGCCTAAGGCTGTATTTGGATGCGATGTAATTACATCGGTTCGCTTTTGTACGCGTTTGGTAAACGAGTGTAATCATTATTAACGTAAAACTACACTCTGGTTCAGTTTTGCGTGCATTTGGATGGAGTGTAGTTTTACGTTGATGATAGATGTAAAACCTCATCACATTTAAAGTTTTACATCAATAATCGATATAAAAACTACATTGATTTTATCAATGTAAAACTTAAACAACTTTTTACATCAATTTCAAAATACAATGGTCATATTTATTTAAGGTTCAGTGTAAAACGTCATCAGTGTATTTACACTGATGAGAGGATTCGTTCAGAGCTCTGAAAGCAAGGTATCAGGGGTCCTCCCCGGACACTCATATTGGGGAATATTCTGGACTGAAGAGAGCCCAATAAACAATGGCCTAAGTCCTTGAGAGTAAAAGACGCATCAAATATATCGCACAATCTGTCATTCAGGCCATGGTTTTTAAAATTGGACCGGACCAGATTGTCGAACCAAAAAAAATCTGGAATCGGTCAGGTGATCGRTTCCATCTATTTGGTTTGAACGGTCAGACCATTTAACCCAGAAACTAGACCCTCACCGGTTCATTATTCGGTTTGGTTTTAAAAATCTTGATCCAAGCTATTCCCATTTCTCGAGCAATGGCGATGCGAATATGGTATGACCCTCTTTGTTTTCTTTTCTTTTAATTTTGGGAGATGGCTAGGTAGCTAGCTAGGCCTAGTTAATTAGAGTCTAGAGAGCGGATTTGGTCCTCATGGAACCTCCTCACACAGCCCTCACAACTTTTGCAGCCATATATTGAAAAGTGGAAACCTCTTCTGAGGACGGTTTTGTAAGGACCAAATCCAATTTCGATTAATTACAGCAACCGGCGAAAAAGTTTTGTTAACTGAGAGCCATGATTCTCTTTCTCTCTCTGCTTTAATTTGGTTGGAGTAGTTTGCAT